AAAACCCCCCGCCGGAGCAGCAGGACACATTTGAATATTCCGGGCCGGGGAGAAACCCCGCAATTTCTTCGCCTCCCGCCCGGTAGCCGACCCCCGTCGATTTTTCCCCTCGCCCCAGCACGACGTCTTGTGTGTGTGGTTAGGGGTAATGCCCCCCCCCCATCCACCCTCACTTTTCGCCATTCGATCACCATCCTCGTGGCTTCCACAAAACGGGCTAATGGCTTGAAAGTGCGCTCAACTGTACGACGGGGCATTGGAGGGTTTAAGAGAATGATCAAGCTGTACTTGTGGTTTTTAGCCTGGTTTTTCTGTCGCCAAGCCCGCGACACGCGACGCGCACGCCGCGTAACCACCATGGAAGCGAAGCTCACGCGTTGTGTCTCGCGCACGCGGTAAAAACTGTAGGAATTGAGGTCAGAAGAATCCAGTCACTAGTGAAAAACTGAGTTACAGCCGCAAAGATAGATTCTGGAGAGAGAGAGAGAGTGCAAAAGATAGCGAGAGAGAGAGAGAGAAAGGCGGAAAGCGTTAGAGTGAGCGTGAGAGATGGAGCAAGAGCGTGTGAGAGAGCGCGGGGCGAGAAAGATGGGTGGATAGAGCGTGTTTGATAGAGCGAGAGAGAGAGAGCGGGGTGAGTGAGAGATAGGTAGAGAGCGCGCGTGAGAGAGAGAAGCGTTCCCCACAACGTAGAAATCCAAGAAAAAATAAGAAATCGTATAGATAAGAATCCCAAACAAAAATAAAGAAAATGCAAAACAAAAATTGGCAACACGCCAGCCCCGCGTCAGAACCGGAGGCATGAAAGGCCGGACGGGATGCCGAAAAATGGTTCCCATCGCCTGATGTCCCCCTCCCTGAGAGGAGGCATCAGCCGTTTCACCCCCCGTCGGGCAAAATGTGTATCACATTGATGGGCCCGGGGCAAAAAGGCCTCGGCTCGGAACACGGCGAGAATTGAGCGTGGATTGGTAGGGGTCCGTCCCCTGGATAGTGAGTCATTGAAACGATGGGTGCATCATGGCCAGTCGGCAGCACAAAAGACGCCTGTCCAGCCTTATGGCCCCTTGACTCACGCGGCTTTTCACCTCTCCCACCCTGTGTGTGACAACACGACAAATAGCCCCGACGCGCATAGATCAGGCGTTGTAGAAAAAGTTACTGAAAAATAGTAAATATAGGCTTAGGGGATCGGCTATCAGCACCTCGAAATATCGTTTCGCGGCAGTTCATTTTGTTGAAATTCATTTAAAACTTATTTAAAAAATGTGTGAAATTTTATGGAATGCTTGAGATGAGTAAAAGAGGCGAAAACTCGCACTAATTTCGAGAAAAAAATTTTCGACTTAATAAAAATAACCCTGCTCCACGAGAAGGAGGCGAAAGGTGTCATTAGGTGCAAATCGGACGGCTACCAGTGCCTACAAATCCGATTTTACAAAAAATAATTTTCGCTATTAAATAGCTTGCTCTCGGGTACTAGGCTGTTAGCGGGGGTAACCAATTTTTCGCGTTGGGGCTATATCGACATAGAAATCCTTTTTATAGCATTTTACAGCGTTTTCTGAATCCAAAAAGCGCATAAAAATGGCAAAACTTATTTATGAAAAATGGCCCAAAAGAATACAATATTCAAATTTTCAAAATTTTTGATTTTTATAAATCTTTAAAACTGGTAAATTTTCCAGAAACTTTTTCTAGAGCTCAAAACTATTGGAGCATTAGAAAATAGATTCTATCAATTGGTGCAAAATCAAAACCAGTTCCTGCGCTAAAATCCCCCCCCGCTAACAGTCCAGTCCCAGATCTCGGATAGGTTCTTTGTTAGGAGGTAATTAGCGTACACCGGGAGCCGATATCGCCTATATAAAGGGGTAGAGGGGCATTTAAATATTTTTCTTGACGATATTCGGGAAACAAAGTAAAGGCTTTCACTCTAATTCCAAGATATGGCTACCCACCATTACTTCTGAAATCATTACTTCTAAAATCATTACCTCCAAAATCATTACTTCTAAAAGTCATTACTCCTAAAATTCTAAGCGTCTTTTTGGGCATAAATATGACCATACATGCCGAAAAATCCATAATCCGACGTACCAACTTTTAGAAGTAACGGTTTTAGAAGTAATGTTTTTTACAAGTAATGGCTTTTAGAAGTGATGATTTTAGAAGTAATGGTCGTGCCCCCCAAAATATACCTTTGCTGATTTTCTACAATGAAAAGAACACCTCCCACATGCCTACAAGCATTCCACACCTGCGCGAACAGGTCGGAAGCAGCAAAAAAATTGGAAGCAAACTGTGGGGGAGGTAGGCGGTGAGTGACAATACGCACGGGCGTGGCCTTACCTGGGTTCCCTCAAGAACAAACAATTCTCCTCCTTCACAAAAAGCAACCATATTTGCATTTGGGGGGTAGCAGCACCTGGCGGTCCCGCTAATTTTTGCGCGTAATTTGAGGAGCGGAAGATGGGGGAGTCGAGAGTACGCCCGTGAAAAAAATATTGGACTAATAATGCGGTGAAGTGGGGGAGATGGTGAAAGCCGAAGAGCGAAAATTCATAACATTTTCAAAACATCAGAAAAATCAAGGCTAATATTTCAAAAACAAGAAAAAAGAGAAAAGGGCAATCGGTTACACAAAGGAAACTTCGGAAATAGCAAAAGAGCGGGAGGCGAGAGGAAGGAGAGGGGACCGTGTGTGAGTAGAGAGAGAGAGAGAGAGAGAGAGAGAGAGAGAGAGAGAGGCGTGAGAAAGAGAGAGAGCGAGAGAGTGAGCGAGAGGGAGACAGTGTGTGAGGTGTGAGAGAGAGCGAGGAGAGAGAGGGAGAGTGAGAGAGAGATAAAGAGAGAGAGAGAGAGGGAGAGGGCGAGAGAGAGAAATAGAGGGAGAATGCGTGATAGAGAGAGCGTTAGAGAGACTCGATTTTACCCAATGCCAACACACAAAATGCTGTCTCATAGAATGCTGAATTCCGTCAATTTATTAGAAAGGGCGAAAAGGTGTTGATTTTTCCAAAGAAAGTGCACCCACGCGAAACGGCCACAGGCAATAGTTGTTGACCTTTACAAAAAATAGAAGCCACTGCCACAAAGTGGGGTCGCCGACGGCGCGGAGGGGCGACAATTAGCCAACAACCCTCCTGCTCACACGCTCCTTTGACCGAGCACGAGCTCATATTAGGGAGCGGAAGTCGAGGAGTTGCGAGCGCGGCTTGCGCACAAAGGAGAAATTGCCGCGGGTCCATCGCGCAGCATCCGGCGCGCAAGTCGAGAGCACTTCGCCCACAACCGGGCCCCCCGCCCGCGCCGAGTGTAGAGTGCGCGTCTAATTAGCGCCCCCAACCACGACGAGATCTGCTATCAGCTGGATGGGGGGAGATGACAATGTGTAGATGAAGCTAGTGCTTGCTAGAATCTCGTGAATCTGGCCACTTGGGTGGGGTCGAGTAGGTGGGACATTGATTGGACCAGTTTTCCGAGAAAGACAATTTTTTTCCGTAGCAAACGGATTTTTAAATATAAATAGCGGAAGTGTTTTTGAACTCAGTTCTACTATTCTTAAACATACAAAATTTTATAACATTTTATTAACAATACAAAAATATAAATTTTTCGACCAAAATGTCGACTTTTCGAAATTCTTTCCGGTAATTCCGTACGGCCTTGTAACGAAATACAAACCCCTTTTTATATCGTTTTACACCGTTCCGACTTCAAAATAATATGAAAATTCTCGAAAGTTTTTGACTTTTTGGTCAAGATGTGTGCAAATTGGCCAAAAAAATGAAAACAAATATTTTCGAATTTTTTTAGAATTACGGCGATTTGTATAATTTTCTAGCGCTGAAAAACTACTAAGAAGTCTAAAAACACATCATATAATATTAACAGCTATATCAGCGCAAAACCAAAAATTCGCTTTGCCCCGTTAAAAATTCACCCCTCCGTTAACAGAAAAGAACCGAAAATCCTTTAGACCTCACGATTTTTAGCTAATAGTTTTTTAGTCCATCAGAAACCTTGTTATTAGCATTCCGTGAAGGTAGACAGTGGCCACGTAGATAGCCGCGTAGCGTACTACAGTATACCGACCGATTTCGGAGTATCAGTTTTCCGACTAATATGTGATGTGGCTCGCACTGTAAGTTAGGCTTATACGTAAGAAATCAACACTAACCCATTAAAAGTGCTAAAAGCCCATCGGCCACATTGCCACCCAACCAACCAACCAGCCGATGTGCGGCAAATAGAACCAGAGCTCTCTCCACCGCCCATTTCGGGCCGCACCGGCTTTCAGAGTGGCGGCTACTTTCCGCATTTTCTACCCGACAAACGGGTTCCCCCTAATCGTAACGGTCGTCGCTTCATTTAGCAGTTCAATGCGCGTGTTAGCTGGAGGGAAAGACAGCCTGGGGTGGTGACAACAGCTATGAAAGTTTTAAATACAGGTCGTCAAAAATGCGCTATCTCGGCGGAAGAGGGCTAGATAAAAAAATTTCAGAACCATGAGAAAGTCGAAAAAACGAAAAACTTCATTTTTGGACAGAAATTGATACGAAAACGATTGATACGTCGAATAGTGGTGCTTTTGCATTATCGGGGGGATCCATGTTTTCCTTACAACCCCCAATTCACTAATAAAACAATGAAGGGAATGTACTGAACTTTTTTTATTAGTACTAAACATAAAAACTTTTTGAGTTTGAAAAAATGCCGATCTGGATCCACATTCAAAAATTCTTGAGTTCCTTAGCTAGCTTTTCCCCGTTAAATAGTAAAGAAAACGCGTAAAAATTTTAGACATTTCTCTGTAAAATGAAAGAGGGCAAAGGGGCTAAGAAACAGAAAATATCGAGTTTCCGCTATCATATTTAGGCACGCCATAAAGCGCTTTAGAAAGCGGCTATTCAAAGTTTAGAAATCATCGCATTAACATCAGAAATTAGTCTAAAAATACAGCATCCGGCAGAGATTTTGAGTCTCGTCGTACGAATATGTCAAATGCCCCGATGAAACGCATCTGTGTGGCCCTACTGACTTTATCCGTACTCGTCCCGTTGCTCATCTTCACCGTTGTCGGCATCCTCGGCGAGGAGATCAACCACCACCGCTACACGTCTTTTCGTGAGTGATGGGCTCCTAATCCTAAAGTCGCCAAGCTTCAGATGACTTCCAATTGGCCGTCGTCTCCATGGGAATCTATGGGGTGATCACGCGCAAACGAGAATTCATCATCTTCACGCTTCTCTCATCCCTGATCGCCGTCGTCGCCACCGTCAAGGGGTTTCTCTACGCGTTCAGCGTGGTAGGTCATGATCGTCACGTAGAAGCCTAAGTAAGTCTGGACCGAAGCGTAAGCATAAGCCTAAGGCTAGGCCGAAACCTAAGTCTAGGTCTCAGCCCAAGCCTAATCCTGAAGCCTGGGCTTAAACTTGGGCCTGAGTGCAGTTTACCCCCAGCCCTAACTTTTCAGCCATACGTCCTATTAATGCGTCGAATATCTCAAAATGTTCGCCGTGGTCGAATTACTATAAAAAAAGTTGTTTTCTTACATCAAAAATTGTTAGAAAAATTTTTATAACAATTATAAGTCTGGGTTTTCTTTAGTTAATTTTTGCTGTTCCAAAGTGAGTTTTCGTAACTCGGCTATCTTTTGACGTACAAAGCTGTCAATAGTACCAAAATGTAGCTCTTGCTCTGGAGAAGAAGTCTACAGTACGTTTGAGCAGAAAAAAAATAGCGGAAAATAAAAATATTTGAGTTTTAGACTCCTAGTACATCGAAGCATAGCGGCTTAATCTTTTCAACTTTCAAAATCTTGTAAAAAAAATTTTAGCAATTTTCGCCGCAAGAAAACAACTTTTTTATAGTAATTCGACCACGGCGAACATTTTGAGACACTCGGCGCATCAATAGGACGTATGGCTGAAAAGTTAGGGCTGGGGGTAAACTGCACTCTAACCTACTTGACCCTAACTCTATCGCAAAGTTTCAGGTCAGTCCCTCCACCTCGCTGTCTTGCGACCGCTCGGAAGCTGCAGAGTCCGAGACGCAATGCGCCATCTGGGACGTGTTGCTGCTCGTCTTCCTCGCCGCGTTGATGGTCTACACGGTACGCGGGTTTCAGCAGAAGTAAAAAATTAAAAGCTCGACAGACGCCCTATTTTTTTACCTTTTTTCAGGCAATGTCAGCACTTGTCGTCGGGCGACGGATGTACGAAGATGTGGATAGTGAGGAGAGGTCCATCTACCGACGCATCGCCACCAAAGACACCTATAGATTCGATGTGAGCATGCGGTCAACCTTTCAACTTCTCAAGGGCAACGCCGTCGAGCCGTCCACCTCATCGGAGAGCGCTTAAAACGATGACGATGTGTGTAATAATGTCAATGATTGCACGTATTAAAAAAGGAATAAATTGCTTGAAATTGTAATCACGGTTGAACGACAGACTAAAATATTATTATATAGTGCAATTTATGCTTGTCAGTCTAAATTTATAACATTCTGGTTACGAAACTATTTTCTTCCTGATTCTCTTTCCTTTTTCCATGTTCTTCGCCTCTTCATCGCAAATTCACCTTATTTTATTCAGCTCACAAAAATACACGTAGCTATACACATGGCTAAATATATACATTATCGTTCATTGGGTAGGGTACAAATCTCAAGGTATCGGGCATTCGGTGGGTGGAGTATCGACTATACAAAATTGTACACGTAGGCGAGGGAGGAGGGTGAGGGGTGCAAAGGGTGTTTTTTTTTGATTGAGGATCTGGCTCGGACAGCTTACTTCCTCAGGTGTGCCTCTCCCGACTTCTCCGTCATGAATGGGTCCATCTGCAATTTCGGATTATTTTTTCTGGCGTGTTTTCAGGGAACTAAAGAAGTCGGGAGGGTGTGGGTGTCATTGTGAATTCAGAAAAATCGTCTAAAAACTACTCCAACGAAGAAAATGAACTCAAAAAAAGTTTAATTTGCCAGCTTCATGGGAAGATTTAGAAAAACCAATAAGATAAACTGGAGAAAACTTCTTTAAAAAAGTAAAATCAAGAATTCCAGGCGCATGGTATACGCGTGTATTTTGAGTAGCGTCTCGTAGCGACTACGAGATGCTCCACTGTACGTGGATACCTCGTGTGCCCTCCGCTGTTCATCTTAGACTTTTCGCACGCGACTCTTTTCAAGGGATGTAAAATGAAACGGGCGCACAGTGTAACCCTGTAGAGAAGAGCCACTCGTAGCGACTCCGCGATGCGCCATTGTACGCCGACACCTAGTGCGCTCTACATTGTACTTTCTAGAATTTTTTGCACGCGACTGTATCTTGTTTAAAGGGCCTGGAAAGGCATGGCTTTAGATTTTGACAGACTACTTAGTACGAAACTCTCCCAATTTCAACTTTTTTGAATTTCCTCATCTTCCCGCTCCACTACATATAGCTACAAACAACGATCACTACAGTCCGTGTCTACAATCTACGTGAGCCGTTCATAGGTGCTGTTCGGCCCGTCGACGAATGTCGCCCTCCTCACCTTCTTCCCGGCGCGCTCCGACTCGGCGTCAGCCTCCTCGCCCGGCGTCTGGTCCCTCTGAAATTTCACGGTTATCGAAAGGTTATCTTTTGTAGTTTCTGGTTTTTGTTAACTGCGTTTTCGCGTCAGATTTTGCTTTACAAAAAAATAATTCTGGGGCTTGCCCAAGGTGCTCGAAGAATGTCACTCGCCGATCTGAGGTCCCGGCGCAGCTCCTGCATCTCCCGGTCAAGCTTCTGGGCCTTGATCTGGAATTGAAGGAGTTGTAAAGAGGTTTATATCGTTCTAAACGTTTTTAAAAATCCAAAATCTTTCAAAAAATAATGAAAAACGGCTAAAAACTCATAGAGCAGTAGTTTTTAGAGTATAGCTTCGTTCGCCTAACTTTAAACGCGTTTATAAGGCTTCTAACCATAGCAAAAGCCGTTTGCGCAATTTCCCCATTCAATTTATTGTGGTTCAGAAACTTTTATATTGTTTTAAAGCTCTCAAAACACTCAAAATAATTAAAGAAAAACGGCTAGAAATGCATGGGGTATCGGCGTTCATAGCATCACTCCGTAGCCCACCCACCTTCATCTCGTCAACGTTGTGGATATCGTCAAAGTATTGGTTCTCGGTGACCTCCATGTGGGCGGAGAACTAAAACGAGTTTCGAAACCTCAAAAAAATCGCTGACATCTCCGGACAGGTCTCCGAGGGAAATTTGACGCCTCTCCAGCTCCTCACGGAGGATATCGGAGAGCGACATTTTCAGAAGGCCCTCCTGCTTTGCCTAAAAACGCGAATAATTTATCTTTATCTTACTGGTTTTTCTATCTATATTTTCATTAATTGCCGCGCTTACCTGCATGGTATCAGTGTTATGCTGGTGGTCGAAGTAGGCGTTGTCGGCCATTTCTTTGCGGGGAACAAACTAAACAAAATATTGAAAATGCGGAATTTATTTGTTTTCATAATAGCTTTTTTCATATTTCGTAGCGCTAAAGCTTATTTTTGGTTGGGGGAAAGTTGAGTCTGCCAAGATTCCGAAATTCCTCTCGAAATTCTTACATTTTTTATATTTTTCGGTTTAATTTGAATGTATTCTTATTAAGCAGGCCAAGGCGAACATTTTGGTACATTTTACAGCTTCATAGCTTAAATACGGGCCGAGATAGATAAATTTGAAGTAAGGCCGCGGGGGGCCGAGTCAGATTTGCGAAAGTAACCGAGAAATGACCCACCTGCTCCGGATCCGGATCCGCCAGCTTGCTGCGCTTCTCAGTCTCCTTCTTCAGCTTCTCCTGCAAGTGTGGGTCTTCTTGGGCCTGTTGCACTTTCTCCTAGAGCGACAACGGGTTTGCTAAAGGGCCACTGGGGGGCTGGGGACACCTGGGTGCGCTGTGAATCTCCGCGGTCCATCGTCAGATCATAATCGAAGTGGCTTTCCTCTTGCAGGCCATCCGGGCGATTCTTGGTGCGCGGTTGACGCGCAGCTGGCCCCGGTTGCCCCTGGCCCTACAAGTGGCCCATTGCTACCGTTGCCCTGGTTGTTGGGTCAGTTTTGAAAGTCTCTCAATTTTACTGAAGACACACCTGTCCGGGGTTTCGGCTCATTTCGTGTCGCATCAAATCCTTCAGCTGCATGTCGGTCAGGTTTTCGGCGCGGGCCTAGAAAGTGGGCTTTGGCTTGGTTTCAGCCTACGTTATGGGCTTAGCTTGGGTTGGGCTTAGGCTTAGGCTTCGGTTTCGACTTTGGCTTAGCTTAGGCTTAAGTTACAATAGCCATACTTCTAGACTGTATCTTGACGTCACTTTAAAAAATTTAGAAAAATATATCTATGTAATTTTGCTTGTCGGGGGGTCGTTATTTTTTTCTATAGCGTCAGAAATTACTGGTAGCGTCATAGTAAGTATTTTAATAGTTTTTAGTAAAATTTAACTGGATTTCAGGTTGAAAAACTATCTCAAAAATTTTAAAATATTTTAGAATCCGAAATTTTGGTCGTAAGTCGAAGTGGAAAAATTTTAATTTTTAAGAATCACGTCTGATGATGCAGCGAATCGTGAAAGATTAAATAAGTTATGTGCACAGAATACTATTGTTCAGGGTAGCCACGCGTAGTCCGGGTTTCACAACGAAACGCTTCAATGTACGTACTAACCCTGTGGATTCTACGCAAGAATTGTCTAATTTGACTTGTATATGTTCTATATTATGATAGATAAGCATCAAATTAAATCTTTAGACCTCAATAAATTATGCGTTGCTTTTCGCCTATTTGTCTGTAGTTTTAGCCTATTCCTATTAGCAGAAAAAGGGAGTGTTATTGGTAGTTTTTAGGGTGCATTTTGCTAGTTTCTCTCTAAATCTAGGGGTTTTGCCAGGCAAATACACCCACCTTAATGCGGTCAATATCGTGAATGTTGTCAAAGTAGGAATTCTCCATGACCTCGAAGTGGGGAACAAACTGCAAATGAATCGATTTATTAATCCGTTCTAGTATTTCTTCTTTCGCTCCACCTCGTTCGGGTTCGCCTTCACTTCTTTGCCGCCCATCATCGTCTTCAGCTCGTCCACCTGCAAGATTGAAATATTAATTTTGGTAACGTGTTGATCGAGTTTTTGTCAGTTTTCGTTTTTTCGGCACTTTTGCATTAGCGGGGGGAGGAAAGAATTATTTATTTCGATACTCTAATTAGAAAAATTTAACCATATTTTTGAAGTGGAAGAACTATTTATAACTTTCAAAATTTTGAATTGAAAGTCTGGGCGAAAATGGATATTATGGGACGATAAATCGTAATTTTTACATTTTTAAAACCATAATTCTAAAGTTTTTACGTTTAGACTAGGAAAAAAACCATGTAGAAACATCTCTTGCATTTAACAGAAAAATCGAATGCTATGAATAAATCGCCTCCCCCCCGATAATGCATAAGCCCCGGTTTTTTTTTATTTGTCGGTTTTCCTGAGTTATTTACAAAGCAAACTATTTTTCTGCAGATTTCCCAAGATCCCCGATCCCCTTGGGCTATTTTCTGGCTTCTGGAGACCCCGCCAGTTTCGCAACGCCACCGCCGGGCTGGTTGTTTTTCTGTTTTTGGAGCCCCTTTTTCAGCCTGCCAGCCGGGGCGAAAACAGCGAAAGAGTGCACCCCTCATCCCGCCGGGCCGACCGGTAAACAAACGCGATATTTTGGGCTAGAAAATGGATTCTAGGCCACAAGACGTGCAAGTTGGTGCAAAAAATGCGGCTTTACCAGTAAATAACGACTCGAAAAACGGATTCTTGATAGAGTTTAAGCATTTTAAGCAAAAGTATAACCTTTAAAATTTTCAGGCTCATTTTTCTGCCGTTAAAAACTCATGCTCACCTTCTCGCCGACGACCTCCTTGGCCTGCTGCACCTTTTCGCCAACGACTTCCTTGGCTTGCTGGTACTAAAAGCACAAAAATAAATCAAAAATGCAAAATCCCACCGTATCAGCGACCTTCTCCTTGACCTGCTCCATCGTGCTGCTGGCCGTCTGAAATCAACCTTTTTCAAAAATTCCGCAACGCTCCGTACCTTTCCGCTGCGGTCGTACGCGTCCTCGGCCTTGTCCTTGGCCTCATCGAGCTTGGCCTTGCCGTAGCCCTTCATCTCGTGGGCCTGGAATTTTTGGGTTAAGGCCCCAAATTATCGCTGCTAGCTTGCTTCCCGTCCTCGAATTCTAGCTCCAAAAACTCACCTTTCCCTTGACGGTGTCCTTCAAGTCCTCGGCTTTCTCGCCCATGCTCTTCTGCAAAAAAGAGAGATAAATTAGAGTTAAATTTTAGAGACATAAAAAAGAAAAATTTAGGTTCTTATGCATTATCGGGGGGAATCATTTTTCTTTTCGGTCCAGAAATAGCTAATAACGCGATAGTAGTATTTTAATAGTGTTTTTAGCAAAATTTAGCACATCGAAAGCGAAAAAAAATTATCTAAAAAGCTTTAGAAATATTATAAAATTCGAAATTGTGGTTGAAAATCGGCATTTATCATTGAAAAAGCGATTTTTTTGTGTTTTTAACGAGAATTTTTAAGGTTTATGCGCTAAGGAATAGTAAAGAACAGTTTGAAAATACTGAAGTCATTGATATTAGAAAAATGGATTATTAGAAAAATATTTGATTCTCCCCCTCGATAATGCACAAGATCCGGAATTTAATTCCGCAAAAAACCTGTTAACTAGCGTTCCCTGATATATCAAAAACCTGCTAAATACTTACCTCCCCCATCATGTACTCCTTGGCGTCGTGGGCCTTCTCGACGGCCTTGTCCTTCAGGTCCCCCATCTTTTCGCCCATCGTCTTCTAAAAACCCGAATAATTTTTCCGTCACAATACCACTTACATTTCCGGTAACTGCCTCCTTGGCCTCTTGCGCCTGAAAAGAATTGATTAAAGTCTGTCCAGAAGTTAAGCCCCGAAAATAAAAGATTAGTTAATTGTCATGCAGATGCACACACAAAACTTGGCTTACTGTTTGCTTAAACGCCTCCTTTACAGTCTGGGCCTATATTAGCGAATTTTAAAAAAGAAATATTGATGCTTACAGTTTCTTTGACGGACTCCTTTGCGTTGTAGACCTTGTCGCCAAGGTTCTCCTTGATGTCCTTGATCGTCTCGCCCATATTCGAGTCGGTCACGTTATCCTTGATGTGCTTTGCCTGAAAAAAAGATGGTAATTTCTTTAGCCTTTAATTTAAGGGCATTCATAACTAGCTGGAAAATTAGGTACTGTACTGTTAGCGGGGGGTTTAGAGGTGGACAGCTAATTTTCATTTTGAGCTTATTTTTTGGTGTCTTAGTAGCTTTTGGTTGTTTATAAAAGTATACTTCACGGTTTATCAACTAATGTATAAAATAGTAGTGTAAAAACCGCTCATAAAATTTTAATTTTTTGAAAACATGAAAAATTTTTAACTTTTTACGTATTTTCGTTAATTTTTCGCTAAAAATCCATTACTTTCTAGGTTTTTACAATTTTCATGGCATTTTTATAACTAACAAACTTTGTAAAATGCTATTAAAAAGTTTATATCTCGTTATAGAGCCAAACAGTACGAAATTACTGGCGAAAAATTGGCTTTCCCACCCCTCTTAAAAGCCCCCCCCCCCGCTAACAGTCCAGTACCGAAAATTATTACAGACTTTTACAGGTCTATTGGCACACAACATGCGGGAAATTCTTTTAAAAAACCACACGAGGGCAGTTTAAACTTCAGGATTTTAACGGAATCAAACATGCTTAGCAATTCACCTTTTGGGTCATGGCATCTTTGCGGTGCTCCTACAAAGGATGGCATTTGTAGGGGAATTTTAGAAAATTTTAGTATTAGAAAAAGCTAGGCAATTTTTCTTCCGCTTTTTCCTATTTTTTATTAAGTCATTTTTAGTCATTTCCCCGGCAATAACAATCACCAGTCGATAGACATTGCCCCTGTTTTTGGGCCGTGCACGCGACCGGATAAACAAGAGTAACGCCAAAGTGCACCCGCCCTATTTCCAGACCTATTGACACGTTTGGAAACCCAAAAAATGGAAAAAGAAATAATCCCTCACCATGTTTTCCGTGCTCATCTTCATCTGCTCGTGCTTTTCCCCAATGCCTGGGGGGTTGTGCTGAAAAAAATGGGGGTTTTGAAACGTTTTTAGCTAATTTGCAAGTTGGGAAAAGCTGTAAATTGTGAAAAATTTGCTTTTTCAGAGCTTTTTAACTAAACAAGCCTTGGTTTTCGGTACTTGTCTGTTAGCGGAGGTCATTTCTGGTAAAGAATGTATGAAACATTATAAAAACCGCTTTCTCAGATTATCCAAAAATTTTAAGATATTTTGAAACATTCTTAACGATAAAAAACTAATAATACCACTATAAAAATCCATTTTATGTGATTAACAGGTTGAAAGTAGGCGAAAAAATAAAAACTAGCCTCCCCGGCTAACAGACCAGTACTGGATCAATTTTTGACTGGCTTTTTAAACAAAAAAAACGTATTTATACGTATTAAATCTATATTAAACTTGCAAAAACATAACAAAAAAACCAACCCTATCAATGTGGACAAAGGCCACTGATGTAGTGCGCGCGCAGTTGGCGGCCAGGTTCTAAAAAAGTCTAGTAAACTTTCGTTTGTAAAAATAAACCTTGGAGAGTGCGACGGCAGCGATTCGGCTGGCGGGAAGCATTTTTTAGCGCTTTGTGGGTTTTTTGATTTCTGAAAATCTGAGGGTAAGACAGAAGGATAAAGAAAGAGAGAGGATCGAGATCGGTCACCAAAAAAAAACTAAATTTAACAGCTAAAAAAGAAATTGAATAAGTGAAAAGTGTTTGGTATCGGTTTAAAAAAGTCGAATTTCTTATAGATTTTAGAGATTAGGGTTTTTTGTAAATATCAAGGTAGTTTTTAAGGGAAAAAAGAAACAGAAATCGATGAATTCAAGGAGCGCGATGTTTTTAAAAAGGAAAAATATAGAAAAGTCCATTCAAAAAGCTTAGTAGAGCCCAAAAGTCCAGTACCAGTGATCGTTATCCCTTTCGAAAGGACCCCTTTTATATGCAGGGCTATGCGAAAACAGCCTAAAGGGGGCGGGCCACAAACAGCCCACTCCTCCTTGTTGATGCCAACCATGGCCGAGGGACCCCTCTGCTCGACTGAGGACATTTGCACTTTCCAGGCTTCTCTCTAGCCCTATTCTGCTGTTTTTCTGCAGTTCTCCCATCCTCTCCGTCTACCATTTCTTTCGCCAGCCCCGGTGAGAGAGAGGGAGAGAGAGAGAGAGAGAGAGAGAGAGGCACGCAATTTCTGTCCCCCACGTGCGCACACAACAACTCGACGCCGACAACTTACCCCCCGGGGCGGAATTTGAACCGCGAGAAAACAGGCGCGGTGACAGGTTTTTGGTTATTAACTATAGTGCTATTGGAAATCAAGTAAATTTTCCGCAGTGTTTTAAAAATAGCTAAAACTTTCGAGCTTTAAAAATTGGAAAAAAGTGGTGCTGGTCTGCTAACGGGGGGAAGTAGCGGCTTATTAATTTTTCTTTTTTCTCCGATATCAGCCTGTAATGATCGATCAGGTGTTTTCATAGCCTTTTTTCGTATTTTTTTGCTTGTAAAAATGGTGTAAAATTAAAAAAAACGGAATATAGTTGGCTATACGCTTCCCCGCTAAAAGTCCAGGACCAAACACGTTTTCTAATCGCGTTAAAAAACCAGCTCACGTATTGCAAAAAGCAAAAGAAAGTGTGAAAAAAGCATATTTTTTTAAGATGAGCAATTTCTGTAATAACTTTTTTTTAATTAATTTAATTTAATAGAGAGCCTCTTTCTCCAGTTACGATATTTTAAAAACGTTATTTTACGTTTTCCTTTGACGCTGAAAAACTTTTTTTACAGTTATTTTAATCTTTGAAAAGTTTTTGTACGTCATAAAACGTCCTCCATACCTCTAAAAAAGTACGCAACATTCCACTTATCACCCCTTCCGATAACAGTATAACCTCACGAAATGCCCTCGACGTTCGTCCAAAACCCGCCCTGTTTTCCCTAAACCTTACCCGGGGGAAAAGCCGTAAACACTCTCCACACACAGGAGGCAACAGTCAGCCATTTTTTCGGGGTTCCTGACGAGCGCGTAAACATCGAAAAAGCTGTTAGGGATAATGTGGCAGGAGCCCTTTATTTCAGTTATTCCAGACGACAGTCTTGATCGAATGCGAGGGCATTAATAGATTGCCGAAACGGGTCGGTCTCTTCGTGTCTTGAATGCTGAGGGTGATGTTCAAGGGAGTTCCATTTTGGAGCACCAGAACCCGTTGCTTTCCGTCGGGCGAAACGAATGCCACGCCTAAAAGCGCTTATTTATGTTCCTTTTTCTATTCTAGCGCTTTTGCATTATCGAGGGGCTAATTTTTTCGTTTAAGTTAATTTTAGTCCCCTAATAATAGCATATCCTGAAAACTTTTAAAATTCGAAATTTTGGTCGAAAATCGGGCTTTCCCGCCAAAAAATCGATATCTTTTGTCTTTTAATACTAAAAATAATTTACAAACACCTCCGCTATGAGAAAAATGCGATACTAAAGACAAAAGTGCCCCCCGATAATGCGAAAGAACCATATTTCAAACCTCAGAATTTAACTAGACGAAAAATTCTAAATATTCTTACCGTCCAACCCAGGCTCCTGGGTGCCCAAGTCCAGGTCGACGCGCTGATATCCGGGCTTGACAAAATAGCTAAAATCTTTTCAACTTTGCAGTCTGTAGTCAACGTTCATCTACCTAAAATGCGCCAACGCGTAGAACATTGGCTGCTTCAAAAAGTTGTCCACGGTGGCGTTGGCGATGATCGGCGAGTCGACCGTGTTGTTCACCCAGTTTGGTCCTCCCTAAAAGATATTTTTTACACTTTTTTGAAAAGTTTTCCGAATCCTACCCCCGAAAAACATACCGTTTGATCCAAAACAATATTCCAATCAACCCAACCGACCAACCCGCTGCGCAGGTCCTGTCAAAAGGTGTAGCTTGTACACGGATGGATTTTTTAACCTACCTCAATAATATCGAGGGCATATTGCTCGGCTCTTCCCCAGTTTCCGGGAAGCACGTTTTGTTCGTTGGGCATGTAACCGGTACACGCCTAAACTCTCAACGCATCTCTGATAGTCCTAAAGATACCTCGGTGGCTAATACAAATTTCTCCGGGTGCTTTGACACCGACTTGGCCAATTCCGACTCGAGGATGAACCAGTCGTCGTACCAGTGCACCGCGAAACCGTCGATGAACGAGGCCGCCGCCGCGTCGGCTAGAATCTGAAAATATTTTTACGCGCAGAATTTTGGTACTGGACTGTTAACGGGGGGTCCCTAGGATCTCTTACAGCTCTGCCCGTAAATATAATACGTTTTTTATATCAATTTACCAAGCTTTTAGATATAAAAGGCCACATAAAAATTATAAAAATTTTCGAAATTTTCAGTTTTTGGTCAAAAAAGGCAAAAATTTTTAATTTCGAACTATTTTAGAATACTTTTTAATATTTTCTAGCAATGAAAAATTACCAAACCTGCTCTAAAAGATGCTTTATATTAATAACAGGTGCCATAGGCGAAAAAAGGAAGAGGCACCCCCGCCAACAGTCCAGTGTCGTAATTTTGACATACAGAAAGACTAAAAAAACTTTTGCAAAAAAATATTTAGAAAAATGAACATATTCTCGTTCGCAGAACTAACAATGTCCGGCCATGACTGCAGCACCGACTCCGAGACGAACATCGTCCGCTGATCATCTCCTGCCATAATTTTTATATTCTTCGTGAGGTTCGAGCCTCGGAGCACTGGACCCAGTGTGTCTCGGATGTAGTCCCTACAAAAATAAGAATTACGAAAAAAAGCCCAACCTACCTCTCCATTTCGGCCGACATAAACATTGCTTGCCAGCGGTAATTGGGCACAAGCCCGGCACTTGGCTCATTGATCGGGGTGACACCCCAGAAATCAATACCCAAGTTGTGGTAGGCCTCGAAGAACCTAAACCAAATCTTTAAAAAGCCCTTGTATATACCGTAAATAATAGTTGGCAAATGTTTTGTAGTAAGGCCCTGATAGTTCGCCAAGCATTTCGCCGCCGCCCTAAAATTTCTGGGCTCCAGATTTCCCCCAAAAACTACCTGCATCTTGCCACTTTTCTTCATCCACCCGGGCGCACTCCAGGCCGTCGTGAACAGCTTCAAGTCGCCGCCGTTCTGCTTCACCAAATCTTGGGCTTGTTTGATGAAGGGGATCTGGAAAGGATTTCGATTTTCCTTTTCGTGTTTCTTTAGTATCATAATAGTCTTTTGAGCCGAATTTAGTTATCTTTGCAGTGAAAACTATTTAGAAACCCCCAAAGTACCAAAAAAATTTTAAATGTTGATCCGGAGAGCCGATAGTTTGTATTTTTCAAAGCTTTTTGTAAAGTTTTTACGTATTGAAGTAGTAAAAACAGTTGCGAAAACCGGAAATAGTAAAGAATCTCTTCCGCCCACCTTGTATAAATAATCCTCTTGCGTCAAGTTGAAATGGGCGAGCTCGAAATCGTTGGCAACTTCGGAGTATGAGTATTCTCGAGTTGAGAAATCGCATGAAGCCATCGGGACGCGTGTGATGCGGTAGTCGATGCCTATAACCACAAATTTATGTTTTAAAATTTAATCATAACTAAATACTCAGAAAAAGATGGAAGCCACATAAGCATACCGGTAGGCCCATAATATTGTTTCATCAGCGTATCTCGGACCGGTTGACTGAGGCTCAGCAGGTTGATACCAACAGCGTCTGTGATCGCTCCACCAAATCCATGGATCGTCTGAAAGGCTGATTAGCATACTCTTATTATTAGCAAATAATTTCTAAGGAATCAATTTCCAACCAGATGCGCCCGAGCTTTGCATCCCTTCCTGTCTTTTCAAGGAATCGGAAGCGGCACGCTGTCATTCACTACTACTTGTCTCCGGGGCCAGTGTATTTACTATTTATTACCCAAATTTACCAATGGATCTCTCCGAGTTGCACGGTCAGTTTTCAGCACTATGTTCTCCCATCATCTGAATTCTAGGGTCGACGCTCCACATTCTTCGAATTGGCCTCAGTGTCATCTTTGGGCCCTTGCTAATTTTGTGGGTCCCTGCTACTTACTTTCCCCCTACCATTAGCTAATTTTGAAAACCAGACAAAAATACACAAAAATAAGAATATCTTTCAGCCTGGCCCCCGCCCTGCTGATCGTGGGATGCGGGAAAAAGTCGCCCCCACCGCCCCCGGCCGGCCGTTCGGTGATGGCCAAAGCCCCTTCCGTATCCCAGCCGGCGCCCACGACCCCAGAGGCCGCCGCCGCTCCAGCTCCAGCTGCAGCCCCGGCAGCCCCCGCACCTGCTGCAGCCGCCGCCGCCCCCGAGCCTGCCGCCGCAGAACCAGCCGCTCCCGCCGCGGCTCCTCCCGCCGAGAAGGCCAAGTCCAAGAAGTCGGCCAAGGGCGCGTCGGAGAAGAAGCCCGAGAAAGGCCGCACCGAGGCCACCCAAGAGACGAAGGAGAAGGAGGAGAAGAAGGAGAGCGAGAAGAAACAGAGCGAGAAGAAGGAGTCCGACAAGAAATCGAAGACATCGAAGGAGAAGGAGGAGAAGAAGGAGAAGGAAGAGTAGGTCGAGGAGATAAAGGTAAAATAACTCTATTTCTAGGGTACCAGCCAAGAGTCTCGGCGTCGGATTGGGTGGAGACAAGCCGAGTCAACAGGTCAGGGTTTTTCTGACCTCAATAGATTAGTTATTTTGTGAAATTTAGCATGTTAGAACAACTAATTCTACCGCGTTAACGGCATTTTTACAGGGCGGTGGCGACGACGGTGGAGAATACGAGCAAGTGAACTGGGAGAAGAAGGCATAATTACATCCCGCCATTATATAATAAAGCCTTACTCGATTGTAACCGTGTATTCCACATACCTGATATGTCTTTGATGCGTCCACCTTGGCGATTGTTGAGCTATCTGCAAAATTTATCACGATCCGGAGCCCTGCCTTACTTGGAAACGCCGTGAAGTAGAAATCGATCCTGTCCATGCGGTTGAGGCTCTGCGACGAGATGTAAGCCGCGAAATATTCCGCCTGAAAATTAAATTGAGAAAAAGTATTACTTTAAAATACCTGCAACGCCCCGAGTGGCTCGATATCATCGCAGTAAGTGGCATTACAAATGCATCCAAAAGCGACGTCACCTAGCAGGTCACCATCGCCCTTCTGGTGGTAGTATTGCTTGGCGCAAGATCTTCTAGCTATTCGAGTAGTTGTGATATTGCTTTGAGTTGCACTCACCATCATTAAGTACAAACAAAAAATTAATTAAGAGCAAAACCCGGAACAGCCCCATTTCCAGCGGGGGTCGAAAAGCTTATCAGCTGAGAATTTGAGCGCTGAAAACGAGGCGACCCCTGGGAAAAAGCAAGCAAAGATTACATTCACGTGTTGCGACCCACGGCACAGCCGAAAGCAGTAGTCAAAACCCCAAAACCTTTGCTCTAGCTGTCCAACAGCTGACGCGAAGCTAATATTTAGCTTTCTTGAATCGACGTCCAGTCACCTGTGTGGAAAAAAAGTCTTCCAGCAACAATAAGTCCGAACTCGATAATCACTGTGCTTCACAAGCGTAAAATCAAAATAGCTTTATCGACATCGAAGAATTGGGTGGCTTGACGGTTTCTTTGCAGCACTTTCAGCGGCGGGTCACTTGGGTGAGCACGGTGGTCGTGGCCTCCATGCCGGCGCGGCGGGTGACTTGGGTGCACAACTAAACTTAGCAGTAAACAAAAAAAATGGGTGCATAACCGTGTCATTCGAATCGAGTCCGTCGAGCTGTCCGCGGCCCTTGAAGTGGGCATGGTTGGCCGAGTTGGCGCAGGTCTGCCAGCCGGCAGCCGACGCCGCCGAAGAAGGTGCTAGGTACAATAAATAGATCATCTTATACGCTTGGATTGGCTATTTTTTGGTTTTCTGCTTTATGCAATCTAAAAATAACATAATATTAGCAACTCACCAAACTCCTTAGAATTCGCCTGGCCGCAAGCACACGGGGTCGGGCAGTTGCACGGCTTGCAACGGCAAGCCTCCGGGCAGCCGCGCTTCATCGTCGATCCGACCGTCTGGTAGCCATGGAGGGTCGTAGAATCTAAAAGACCCATCCATCTCTGGCCAAATCTTTACCGATCCCAGAAGAGTAATCCGAAGCCCGGGTCTGCCCGCTGAATTCGCCGCGCGTCTGGCTGGGCAGGGTCGCTAAAAATAATTATCACCAAAGGGCTCCCCGCTCACAAATGCCACCAAGGGTCGTCTGGACACTCGACTGACCGCTCTTCTCGCATCGGGTCTGAAAAAAATGTGCTTACTGCTATAAGAGACGCTTACCTGCTTGGTGCGACAGCTCATGAATTTCTCGGCTGATGGCATCTCCACCAAGGCCGAACCCTTGGCATAAGGCGAGCCCACCCCGTTGCTGTTCAAACACGACTCCTTCTTGTAGATCTTGTGGATGCGCAAGATCTGCAAACATTTTTAACGACCTTCAAACGCCGGCTACGGTCTCCTTGTACTCGGCGAGGTCCAGAATCAGCGGGTTTTCCGTGCCGAGCTGGCTAAATAAGTATCGAGATCTCATTTGGTATATCGATCTCGAACCTGCGAAGGTAACAAATGAACCTCTCGATGCTGAAAGCGGCATGCGAAAGCATTTCATCAGCTTCCTAAGATGTGACATCAAAATAAGACCAACTAAATCACCTCGAGCTGGTTGGCGTTTTTCTTTGGGTACTCCATAATAGCTACGATCTTCTAAACTTTGCAGCATGCATAAGCCCGAAGGTCTTACCTAAAACGACCGTTCCTGAAATAAGGCGAGTAAGAAACAGCGGTTTTTCCCACGACTTTCCCATACTGCTTTCCTCCCGGATGCAAATTTTATGTTTATTCCAGGGTTTTCAGTCCTTTTTTAACTTTTTTTTATTCATCTTTTCTTTATTTTACTAAAAGTTTATTATTTTGACCTTTTAGTTTATTTTTTTGCTGGCCAAAACTTTTTAAAATCCCGCTGCCCTGCCCTACGCGGCGATACCTTCCACAACGCCGCACCGCGCGGCTCAACGGGCCCCCTCCCCATTTTTCTGCCGTACCTAAATTTTACAAAGCGCTTTTTCATAACTTTCATCGCCGTTTTTTCGTCGAAATTTTCTTAGAATCCTTATTCGTAGCCTCGTATGAACTTTCCGCCTTCTTGGTAACACCTGACTGCTTCTTCGATGGTGCTGCTTTTGCGCAATTTTCCAATGCTTTCACCATCTTATTCCGGATTTTCTTTGTTTCTTTTTGTATACTCTATCTTTTCCAGATGCCGGGTAAATCAACTCCGAGGATCCCGAAAAATTACGAGATCGCTCCTGGAGTACTACGATTCTCCAGCACGCGGTTGGCGTTGCCCAAGGTCGGTGCCACCAAGGTGAAGAAGGTTGGCGGCTCGAAGAATGGCGGAGAACGCAAAGTCGTCGAAAACAAGGGCGTAAGTTTGGAGATCGTTGGCCATAATTTTTTGTTTAGCCCCGACTCTTCCCCCAAATCCGACAGTCCGCTGCCGTCGAAGGAGGCGACCTCGCCAAGACCAAGCTGCGCAAGACTATCACCCCCGGCACTGTCCTGATCATCCTTGCCGGCAAGCACAAGGGAAAGCGCGTCGTCTTCCTCAAGCAGCTCGCCAAGTCTGGCCTCCTGCTCGTCACTGGTTCGTCCCCATTCAAATTTACTAATTTCTCTTGTAGGGCCCATGCGGTTGAACAACACGCCACTGAGGAGGATCGCTCAGGCTTTCGTTATCGCCACAAAGACCAAGATCGACGTTTCTGGTGTCAAGTTGCCCGCTAACCTCGATGATGCCTACTTCCGTCGCGTCAAGAGCAAGACCCGCAAGACCAAGGAGGGAGAGAACATTTTCGCCAGCGGCAAGCAAGAGTACGAGGTTTGTAATGCTTGGTCTTCGCTGTATTTTCTTGGTAGGTTGCCGATCAGCGTAAGGCCGACCAGAAGACTGTTGATACCGCCATTCTCGCCGCTTTGAAGAAGAACCCCGACTACAAATTCCTCCGAGGCTACTTGGGATCCCGATTTTCCATTCAGAAGGGACAGTTCCCCCACAAGCTGGTTTTCTAATTCGTTATTGTTACAATAAATTGTTGTATAACTTGTAACGTTTTTTTTCTTGTCGCACATAAAGATTGTTATAATATTTTTCTTGGCAGATAATACAAACAAGCATATATTACCAAGAAGCATTGCTCGTTGACGGGAGAAGCATACTGGTGTTTTTGAAAACGTTTTCTAGTGAGGGAATATGCCTATAGCCTGCTCGACCGAGGCTTGTACCTCGTCAGCGACGATCAAGCGTGCTCGTGATGGGGATCCTGTCTGTACTGCGTGTTTCACACGCCGCTTCGAAGAGGCAAGTAGCGGGGCTCATTGGGGAAGAATTGGCGTATTCAGGATGTGCATGAAACGATTTCTTCGACTTCCCTCTTCAAACGTGGTGAAAGGGTAGCGATCGGCGCTTCTGGCGGCAAGGACTCAACTGTATTGGCCTATGCTATGAAGGTAGTCCCAATTCGCAGTTTATTCCATTCGTCCAGGTGCTGAATGAGCGTCATGACTATGGATTGGAGTTGATTTTGCTATCCATCGATGAGGGCATCAAAGGGTACAGAGACGATTCCCTGAAGGTATCTTAGAATGGAGGGAAGAAAGTCTTTTAGTCTGTGGAGCGGAACAAGATCGAATATCAGCTCCCATTGACGATCCTCAGCTACAAAGATCTTTATGGGTTAGCTTATCGCTACTGATTGAGACTGTCCTTCTAGGTGGTCTATGGATGAAATTGTGGCGAAGATTGGCAAGAAGAATAATTGCACGTTTTGCGGCGTCTTTCGACGACAGGCACTAGACCGGTATTGCACCTCATTTTTGGCATATTTTTTACTAGGGGTTCGTACAAGCTCGGCTGTACGAAGCTTGTGACTGGCCATAACGCCGATGACATTGCCGAGACTGTCTTAATGAACCTACTACGCGGAGATGTAGCACGACTAGAAAGGTTGTTTTCCTCATAATATTTGTTTTATTTCTCTCCAGATGCACCAACATTTGTACAGGAGAAGATGGTGGAAGTTTGCCGCGGGCCAAACCTTTGAAGGTATTTTTAGACATTAAATCTGATATTTTGCTGCAGTACTCCTACGAAAAAGACATTGTGATGTATGCGCGCGTCAACAAGCTTGAATATTTCTACACGGAGTGCATATATGCCCCGAACGCTTATCGTAATTTTGCAAGGTTTGGCATGGTTTAAACCCTGCAAGGTAGAGTTTAGGGACTACATCAAGAAGTTGGAACGGGTGCGCCCGCGTGCGATCCTCGACATTATTATTAGCGGAGAATCGGTGGCGATACGCAAAGAGGTGGCGATGCCGGTACTGGGCAATTGCTCAAGGTTTATTTATATACCTTTTCATGACGCGACCATTTAGATGCAATTATATTTCAAGCCAGAAATTGTGCAAGGCGTGTCTGTTGATTGAGGGATTGAATACAGACAATCTTCAGCTCGGTACTAAGAAAAAGGTATCATTTTTCTCTAGAAGACGATGAATTTGTCAGGCAACAACTACTTCCGCTCAAAAGACAGGATGCAAAAGCGAAGGCGAGCCTTGTGAGTGTCGTGGTGATCAAGATGGTGGCACCGTTGAAAATAATAATTCGGTACGTTCTTTACCGTATGTCCTACGGATTTCATATAGCAAACGAAAATACTGGTTTATTAATTCGCGCTTTTAGGGAAATGACGATGCCATTGATCGGTGCCAAGACAGTCTCAACGACCTGAATTGCAGCACAAGTACTAGGAAGAAGAAGGTATGCTCTTTTGCTCACATTTTATTGTCTTCCAGCCTATCTCTTTTGAAGCAACGGACTCGGACGCGACGGCGCAGGACAACAAGGCATGCGGTTGTGACAACGATGGGGGCGCGGCAAAGATTGATTTTTGAAGGTTTATATTTTGTTATTTTTTCGTTTGGGACTGTGATATAAATTTTATAAAGAACACGCTATGACAATGCAGATTAGTCAGACATTTCGATGATGACTGGCGGTTTTTTATTCGGTCAGTTCTCCCCGCGCGCGAGAGTGGGCGTGGGGTTCGATAGTTCTTTTCAAAAGGGATTCCAGGAGCCGGTATCGAGTGAATACCCATGCACTAGGTGGATACTGGCTTTCGGGTTTGACGGTTGTCGCACAGATCAAATTGTGGTTGCTGTGCGGTTTCTCTTTCTCCCTATCGTTCGGCGCGCTTTATTTACCGGCTGGTAACGCTTTGCTATGACTTTCGTTGAGGCGCAATCGCCCGTTATCTCGTCTCGTCAAAAGGTACACGTGCCCGTTCCCCCGATTTTCCCATGGATATATCAATTTTTCCAAACGCGCCGCTGTTTTCATCCATCTTTGTGTGACAGGGGGTTCTCGAGGATGTACGGGGGGATGGGTAGTAGCAAGACACTCATTTGGATACACTCAAACACAATAGATGCCTCCTCAACCCCCCGCCTCCCCCATCCGGTCTCTCAAAATATCAACCGCCACCACCGCGGCGGCGCCTTTCCTCTTTTCCTACAGTCACATATGGGCACGGACTTGTTTTCGTGGCCAGAGTCATCATCTTGTGTCGGCCACAGTCGCCTTGTTGCTCTTTGGACTGGATGCTTGCTTGATTGCCCCGGATCATCGACTCATTGTAGTGTTGTAGTGTCGAAATATACCGCTGGTTGCGAGGCCGATGCGCATTGATTTGATTGCGTGCAATCGCTGCTGCTGCATCTGCTCCACATCTCATTTACGCGGACGTCATGCATGATGCGCCAACGATGGTGGGTTTTGACGAGTTGGCCTTAAAGTTAAAGGAAAATTTAACTCTTGTTTTTTTGCTACCCTTCTTGTCCCTTTTATATTATTTAGATATTTTTAATTTTTACTTTTGGTCAATTATACGCTTTTTCTACAGCCTTGGTTATTCCGTAAATTGTTTAGTGACCTCTTTTTACATTATATTAAAGTTCATGAAGTGATTTAGGCCAAAAGCAAGAAACGAATTTCTTTCTCATTCCTAGAACTCTTTTTACATTATAGTCAATTTATCTTTGAAGTTTGATTTAATTTGTTGGTTTGATTTAATTTCTAATTTAATGTAGGTTAAAACAAGCTATAAATTCCAGCACCTACTCAAACTAGAAACTTTCTCCATACTACTCGCAACCCCCCAATTGCAGAGTGAAGGTGATATGGTAGAGAATCGGGGGGATCCCCGTTCCACCTCTACCCGCCAGGGATGCCAATCATAGCCGTCGCGTAATTAGTAGCGCACCGGTAACGGCTGGCAATTACCGGCCCGGGTGGCTCGTTAACGGCTTTGCGACCTGGTGCTAGTGGGAAACTCAGGGAACACTTCTAAGGGGCTTGATGTAGAAGCTCAATGACTAAATTCCGATTCTGACCCCTTGTTGCAGGTATTTTTCCAGGCGTTCGGAAGCGAGGTTTTAAATAGCCAGGCTCAGCTACTAAAATTTCGATTATAGCCTTTGTTTTCAGGTATTTTTTTCGAAGCTCCATGAAGCTAGACTTCAAATAGTTTTCTCTTGTAGTTTAGAACTGTTATTCTCGATAAAGACCCCCAATTAGCCCCAAAATTTCATTAACGCAACCCGAACGCCCACACGACCCCACCGCCCATCGTAATGCACCTGGCTGCACAGAATGCAGGTGATCTCGATGGACCGCGTTCTCCCCGCCACGGCCTAGCCGGTCGCCACGACCTCGACAACTCGTACCAACCAGGCTCGATTTCTATTTTCTAGCTGTAGAGTGCGCGTTGTAGGATGCCCCACCCGCGCTGAAATACCCAAAAAATGACTGGGATTGATAGGCAACTTCCCGAGGAATCGCTGCTAGCTATTTTGAGATCAAAATTTTAAATCTAGCAGATTTGAATTTTTTGCGTCTCGTCTCATTTTCCCCGGTTTTTAGATGGGGGCCGGGAGCTCGCTGGTGAGCCGTCGTGAGATTCTGCCCGCCCCGGAGGTGGTCACCAAGAAGGGCACGGTGCAGGGGAGGAGGATTCACTATAAGGTATTTTGCTAATAAAAGATAGTTCTTTGAGGATTTTGCGACGTAGCGCGTCGTGATCCGTATGCGTTGCGTGTCACGGCTTCGCAAAATCCATGCCTTCCATGCGCATTTAATGAACGCTATATTACTGTTCAGAATGGCCCGGTCGCCGACATCTACCTCGGCATCCCCTACGCCAAACCACCAGTCGGGCCCCTCCGGTTCAAGGTGGGTTCAAGTGGCCGGGTGGCGTGGCTTGACCGGTTCAAGGCCGGTTTTCACGTACAACTTGAGAATTCCGGTGTCGAAATACCGCGAAATATGCGGAGCGAAACAACGAAATCAAACTCACTGTCCGAATTCAAATTGAATGAAAAAAATAGGAAAAGTGTGTTTTTGTTTGCTGGTAGATCCAACTTCCGAGGATTCCTCGATAGGGGAATAATTTAAGGGGAAGGTCGATTTGGAATTAGGTGTGTAATGGTCTAGAGAGACCTTAAAATAAATCAACATTCTGAAAAACTGCTATTCTCGATATTAAAATTAAATCACTTTTTAGCGACCGGTGGCCCCGGACGGCTGGCACAACACCCTCTCCTGCCGCTCCTACCGCCGCCGGGCCATCCAGGTGATCCCCGCATGGGAACCGCTCGTCTCCCGGTTGCCGGCCACCTCCGAGGACTGCCTCTACCTCAACGTGTTCACCCCCAAGTTTGAGGCGGGCAAGGTTGGTGTTTTACGCATTAACGTTTTTTTTTTTCGAAAAACGCGCCAATATCAAAACCCCCCTTTTTCCAGAAATACCCCGTGTTCTTCTACATCCATGGCGGCGCCCTGTTGATGGACTCCCCGGCTCGGATTCCGCCTGAGGGCATTTGTCGGTACGTGGTAGTGTGGCGTACTATTAGCCTTTTCTTTCAGCCAATTCGTCGCCCAGGGCGTGATCGTCGTCACGGTATGCTACCGGCTCGGATTCCTCGGCTTTTTCTCTACAGGCGATGAGGCGTGCCCGGTGAGTAGCTTGAAAAGTAGCGCTTCTGCTAAAGATCGAAAACAACATTTAATAAGACATTCAGAAGTTTTTGACCAAAGTAAAAATTTTTGAACTTGCAAAAAAGTGTAAACCGATACCTAAAAGGGCCTGAAATGTACCTTTATAGTTTTTCTTTATAAGGCGTCTATAGGCACAGTCAAAGTAAAGTCACCCCACCCCCCGCCCGCTAACGCACCAGCGCCCCTGTAGACCCGGCTTACGCTTTCCGTGTCGCGGCCGCGGCAAAACGCCTCGTCTCTCTCACCCCCTAAATTCCAGGGCAACATGGGACACCTCGACCAGGCAGAAGCCCTGAAATGGACCTCCGAGAACATCAACCTCTTCGGCGGCGACCCCAGCGAGATTACTGTTGGCGGCCAGAGCGCGGGCGCCGTCAGCACCGATCTGCTATCCATCTCCCCATTGACGAGGCGTGAGTACAAACTTCAACTACAGTACATTCTTTTTTTAGACCTGTTCAACAAGAAGATTGTGATGGGGGGCAGCTCGTTCGTCTTCTGGGCCACGTCCCGCGTCAAGGAAACCGTCGACTTTTGCAAGTAGGTGGTTTCGCAAGCTAGCAAAGATGATTTTGAAAACAGGGCTAGTGGATGTTATTTCGGAATTTTTCAGGGAAAAGGCGATGGAACTCGGCTGGCAACCGAAAGGCAACTACGCCTCTCCAGTAGAGGAACACCAGGCGATGATGGAGTTTTTGCGGTCGCTACCGGCGAAAAAGTAATAATATTTTTTTATTAAAATTCGGTAAATAATTGATTAGTTTAACTCTTTTTTTTGTTCATCTCGTTTTTCTCAGGTTCGGCTGCACGTTTTTGCACTACAAGCCCTTGCTGAAGAAGCTGAAAATGCCGCAGGTGGCCGTACTTGATGGCTATTTTCTGCCGAAACCGGTTGAGGTGAGTTCGTTGCAGGAGTATAGAGCGTAGGCTTACCTTAGGCTTAGGCCGAGTTAAATCTGGGAAAAACCTAGCAAAATCTCTGTTCAGCGACTTCGCCTCGAGGCCCCGGACATGGCGACGATCTGCGGGGTGGCCGAGTACGAGGGGCTACTCTTTGGTTGGTCCATCCTCTTCGGACAGTAATCGAATCTTGATTTTAGTGGCCATCAAAACGCTCGGCTTGTCGAAGAAGAGCTTCCAGCTGTTGATGAGCAACCTTGTACACGATCAGGATGAGGTACAGATGAAGGTGAGCGTTCTGTTTATGGGATTTTCTTACAAGTTTATATTTAGCTATTTTTTTCGGATTATACAGCCGTTTAAAAATGCATTACAACGTTCTTTTAGCAAACCCTGGACCTGCTAATCGAGACGTACAAGAAAGACGGCATCCCCGAGAAGCTGAACCTGCTCTACCCGGTCTGCTACGGCGATTTCGCGTCCAACTTTGCGCTGTCGATGGCCATGGACCACTTTTGCACACGGCCAGCATCCACATATGCCTATTTGTGGGAGTATACGGTAGTTGCGGGGTTTTTTAGGAAATTTTGCGTTTTTAGCCACGTCGTCGCTACGGGATCATCGGCGTGCGGTTCCCGTTTCATGGTATAGATTTGTATTTTTAATACTTACTGCGTTCAAGCCAAGCTTAGGCAATCTAGCAAAGTTTCTTGAATAATTTTTATTTTTAAATTGACGAATATTGCAAGGTTTTCAAATATAGAGTCATTCTGTAAACCTAAAAAGCGGCAAAAAGCAACCCTGTAGCAGGCAAGCTAGCACTGTTTATTTGGGAATTTGTCTCATATTTCCAGAGCTGGATTGAACCAAAAAGTTCCAGATTTTAAATTGCCAAAAATCGAATTCGGGCAAGCTAGCAGTGCCTATTTCGGAAATTTTTCGCTAAAAAACACTCCAAAAACTTTCCAGGCGCCACCCATGCCTCCGAACTGCCGTACCTCCTCCGGCAGCAGGCCTTCTACTCGAACACGGCCTTCTCGAAGAAGGAGAAGATCCTCGCCGCCCTCACCAGCGACTACTTCTCATCGTTTGTCAAATTTGGGTAGGAGACTATTTTCAAAATCCAAAAGCTTCCAAATTTCAGGGACCCGAATCGCCATGGGAACGCTTTCCACCCGCAGTGGCCGGCGATCAGCCCCACCTCGCGGCAGATGATGTGTATGAGACCGAATCCGGCAACTAAGGTTAGAAATTCGGTGCTAGTGCATTAACGGGGTGGAGGCAGTTTTTTAGTTAGGAGCTAATTTTTCTAACACCCTAAATTCAATTTTCTTACCTTTCAAAACAAAAAACAAAAATTCCAGCCGGCCGAACAGTTCTTCGGCAAGCGCTTCACGGTGGCCAAGGAGTACGGGTACATAATGAAGATGTGGAACGACGACGCCGTCGAGGAGGCCGTCGAAAAAGTGGTCGAAGCCGTCGTCGAGGCTGCAGCTGAGCAGCCAGAAGCGCATGCTAAGCATCAACCAGCGCCCAAGCAGTTGGCCCCGCTGAAGTCGAGCCGGTTGCCGGACGTTAATTAGACGGGCTAATCATTTAAACTTTAAAATATTTTAAATCCCAGTTTATATAGCGGTTCAGTTTTTCCCCTCGTTTTTACATTAATTTCTGTAAAATTCGTGTAGGTTGTAGGGTTTTTAAAACTGTATTTTTTATTGCGTGGATTTTAACGTTTCTATTACGATTTTTTAAATTGGATTAAAAACTATTAGCTGAACTAAAAACAGAACTACAAAACTAGAAAACGAGAACTCAATTAGTAGTATTTTCCATTTAAAGTTCGTTAAATTACTCTAATTTCCCATTTTTTTCTATTACAAACTAGCTACTCGCCAATCGAACACTTGTCTAAACTTAAACAGCATATCCTATTTTTTTTCCCCGCGAATCCCCTCGTATTTTGTCGGTTTTGACCCCTTTTCCGCTTCCGCTTTTCGATGATCTGAGCCCCCGACGCGGCAACACTGTGATCTGATTGTACATAGGAGGTTTCGAATTGTTTTTCCCTTATTCTATGATTTTGCCTATTGATGTATAACGTTACGAAGTTCTCTTTTATTTTCATGCAACGTGGAGTCGTCTTTGTTTCAATGATAAACCAATTTATTTCTTGGCTCGATACACAGTATCTGACGGGGGTGGCCAGGGATACGCACATAAGTTGTATTTTTAGGCTCCAAAACTTTTCTTGTGCGTATTCGAGGCCTCGCGCTGTGCCAACTTACCTTGGCACGAATTAATCACAACGAAATACCCTCGAAAGGGTACGGTAGCGGGGACACAAAATAGACGGACAAAAATCACAATCGGTCGCGTGAAAGAACTTGTTAATGTTGAGTATCATCGATTCGGGGGGCTGTCATTCGTGCCGCTGTCATTGTTGCTGCGCCGCGACTACTGGGCAGGTGGCTTTTCTGCAAATGGGTTGCCACTAGTATTTATGTCATGATGAGACAAACCGCAGAACGTCTTGATCACGCCGTTCACCTCGCGCTCCACCCGCGTCATGTACGAGGGGCAGTCGACTGAAAAGGAAGTTTAGAATTCCTAACGAATCCCTGTCAGATGCCTTCGCCGTTCGAAAAAAGAAAAAGAGCAGAAAAAAATATAAAACCCCACTTTCCACCTCCTCGAACATCATCTCGTTGTCCTTGCTCATCGCAATCGAGCAGCACTGGTACGTCTGGTTCGAGATGTTCGGCAGGCAAGCATATCCCTGAATGTCGTGTTTTCACGTTTTCATGCATTAATGGTACGTATATAAATGAATTTTTCAGTGATTCAGGATCCACATACCACCGGGCAGCCCTTCTTGGCCGGCTCGCAGGAGACCGGCTCCTGTGTGTTCGGGAAAAGCAGGGCCCGCCCGCGTTCGCAGCCATCGTGTTTTCCTGTAGAAATAATTCTGGTTCTTTAGCGTTATCGGGGGGGCGAACTTTTTTCTGGCTTTCACAGATAAAAAAATAAATCGGCAATGTATTTATATCTTTTTCCCCACTATTTTCACCTAAAAAAGACAAAAAAAATTTAGCGCAAAAGGAAGTTCTTTAATAGTCGCTTCCCTACAATTTAGCCAAATTCAATTTCGTTTCATATTTTTTCGTCAAAAAATTCAAAAATGTAGCGAAAATCCCCCTCCGATAAGATGAAAGCTCCATTCTTTGTGTGTGATAGAAAGGTATTCTCTCAAGCCGCTAAATCTCTCCAAATAATTTATATAACCTACTTCGCATGAACGTTCGCTTCGCCTTCACGTTCTTCGAGCAGCAAAAATAGTCGTGCTTGGCCGAGCTGAAAAAAATCGGATTTATCCAGCCTCAAATACCCCACCTAAATTTGCACTGATACCCATATGGGCAAGTGCCGGTCTGGCACGACTTTGGCTTGCCGTTCAGCAGATATGGCGACATTCCCACCGGGCACATCACTGCTGAAAGGGGGAGTGAAACGGAAACCGCGCGAAAACTACCGTGCTTGGACGGCTTCTCCGTTTGCCCGCCACAGCAAATGTTCTGCATCTCGAGCTTTGAGTACTGGCAATTGTAGCCCTTCGGGCAGTCGGCCAGCGCCGGAGAGCAATAGCTGAAAAACAGGTACTTTAGCTCATTATTGACGGACACATATATTCATGATATTGCAGGCCATCGAACTTGTGAAAATTCGTGAAAAATGTTTAAAACTCTGGTATCTAGGAAAATTGCACCCGACTTACCGTAGCCTTGTGGTGCCCTTCTCGTAGAAGGCTTTCTGACCCTTGATCGGGCACAGTCCCTTGCTCTTCGCCGGTTTTACGGGTTTCTCCCCGTCCTTCTCCTTGTCCTCGGTGGTAGTTGGCTTCTCCTGAATGCGGTGATAAGCCTAGGAAGCAGGGTTACCTTTTCTGAGGTCGTCTCCTCAGTGGTCGTCGTCGTCGATGTAACTTTTTCCTGAGATTTCCGGCTGCTCGGCCGGCGCACACATTTGTTGTTGGCAATCTCCTAAAAGACACATTAATAGAAAGGAGCGGCAGGTCGAAACCTCATCCTCAGCACAGTCACACCGCTCGTTCAGGCATTTCGAGTTCCCTGTGCATTGCAGCGAATTTTTGCACTGTTGTCCGATGTCGGCGCGAGCCTGGCACTGGCCGTCGATGCGGATCTGGCAACGAAAAATGTTTGCCTAGGTTTAAGCTATACCTCATTTCCGGCACATTCGCGAGGCACGCAAAAGTGGCCGAGTACGTCATGCTCCGGTGGGCATCTTAAAACATTGAAAATAGAAATAATGAAATTAAAGTTTTTTTCAAGGCGACAAAACGACCAAAAACACTCACGTGCAGGACGCGTCTATGCAACTGCTGCCCCCGACGCATTGCTGACTGTCCGTGCAGGGCTCGCCGGGTCGGATGGCCGTCACGCACTTCCCGTCCACCCAACGCTCGCCAGGAGAACACGCTGAAATTCACAAGTTGTGGTCAAAAATCACATAGTCAATGGTTTGGCGTAGTTTGTATTCAACGTACTTTCGTGCCCCTCCTCGCTGCAGCAAATGTTTTTGCCTTCGCTGCCCGAGACGCATTGGTACCTGGAAAGGCGGATGAACCCTAGAATTTATGATGCTATTTAAAGGGCAGAATTTGGCAGTTGTTTTCCACTCTAACAAATAAACGAATAATTGCAATAAGGGGGGAATGGTCGGAACTTCCGTGTATCCAAGGAGGAAGAGATTTCCGAGGGGAGGGAAGATTTTTCCATACGATCAAATTTTTGTAACACAAGTAGAGAAAGTGTTTCTAGCATGTTTTTACCATCTCTATACTATAAAAGGCTGCAAACTTAGTTTAAAAATACTAAAGATCCCATTTCGACAGTTTTTCAAGTTTTCTAAATAACTATTCAACTAAATTTTACTAAGATACTATCAAAGTTATCTTTACTAACGTTACTATGCGTATCTAGGAAATAGCAAAGAACAAATATCCAGGGCTGGTACCAAAGTGCCAAATTTTATTTTACCACTACTGGTCAAACGTTGACTACTCCCTAGTCAAACTATTACTAGGGGCTAGTCATGCCACCATTCGCTAACTAGTAATTCAATACAAAAATACCTAGTCAAATCTTGACTACCCCCTAGTCAAACCATCTCCGAGCAAAATGGTGATAGGGGGGCTGGTCAACGAAAAAAGAGTTTTTATTATAAAAACTCGCTAAATTTATCTCGGATGCTAGATTTTGGAGTACGGGTAGATTAAGGTGTGAATTTTCGATTGGTTAAGCCCAAAAACGCTCAGTTTCGACGTTTGGGGAGAAAATTTTCTTGCAAGTGTGGATTACCACCTGGTCAAAGGAAATATGAAGAAACTTTCATATTAATTTGACCAGGGGGTAGTCAAGCTCTGTAGTGGTTTTACCCTAGAATTCCACCTTATTTTCTTTCGTTTTTACCACTACCAATCATCCAGGAAGTGGTTTGACTAGGGGGTAGTCACATTTTGACCAGGGGGTGATCAAAATTTGACTAGGGGCGTCCAGATTTGACTAGGTAT